ACCCAAGACTAAAGCCAAAAATTCCAATTTTAGGAAGCATATGTGAAAAGTTGAAATATGAACTCCCCATTTGTTTGGCAGACTTATATCTTTATCAAGAAAGAAAATATCAAACACTAAAGATCACTGTGTTGTTGCAAAAATACTTGATAACAGGCTTTTAGGTCGTGTCAGTCATTGGTTCTCAACTGGAGAAATTGGGCATTTTGGGAGACATTGTTGGTGGACGGCTGGAATGCATCTGGTGTCTAGTGGGTAGAGGATGGAGATGCAGCTAAATATCTTGTGTGCACCTAACCGGTTTGGCTCAGTGGACGGAGCGTTGGCCTGCGGACTGGGGGGTCCCGGGTTCGATTCCCGTCGGGGGCATGTGCCTTGGTTGCGGGCACATCCCCGGGGTGGGGGGGGGGTGTGCGGGAGGCAGCTGATCGATGTTTCTCTCTCATCGATGTTTCAAACTCTCTGTCCCTCTCCCTTTCTCTCTGTGAATGATCAATAGAATATATTTAAAAAAAAAATATCTTTTGTGCACAGGACACAAAAAATCCCATTGAGCTCTAGCTGGTTTGGCTCAGTGGGTAGAGCGTCAGCCTGCAGACTGAAGGGTCCCTGGTTTGATTCCAGTCAAGGGCACATGCCTGGGTTGTGGGCTCGGTCAGATGTGCAGGAGGCAGCCAATCAATGATTCCCTCTCATCATTGATGTTTCTCTCTCTTCCTCTCTGAAATCAACAAAAATATATTTTTTAAAAATCCCATTGAGAAACTATGGCCTACATATATTTAATGTATATTAATGTATGAAATATTAGCATTGTAAGTAGAAAAATTAGCTATGCCAAGGTTTTACACCAATCCTAAGTGTGTATATATTTTGTAATTTGTAAGAGTATAAAAGAAAAAGGCCCTAATGTTTGGCATTCACAGCAACGTACATGCCAGGGTGATGAGAAACTTTAAATTGTCGCTGTTGTAAGGTTGCTGTTAGCATCAGACATATTTCCATCATTACAGCAAGTGGGAGGTGTTGCAGGAGTACAAGTCTAATTCTAGCATCTGCTCCTTGCTGTGCCGCTTGGGGCTGTAGCCACAGCGGCAGAGCTAGGGGAGCTGGTTGGGGGGGGGGGGGGGTGTCTCCCGTTAGAGGAAGCCACAAAGGCGCTGAAGGAACAGCTCCAGAGCCAGGTCCTCCTCCTCCTCCACCTTTACGCCAGAATCCCCAAGGCTCACGTGGCGCGTCCAGAGCCCCGCTCTCCCCCCTCCCCAACCCCCACTTTCTCAGGCTGCACACGGACCTCCCTGCAGCTGGAGTTGTTCCGCAGAAGATCCCTGGAAGGGGGAGGTTGCTGTAAGTCCGTCCAATAGTAGGGCGCAGCTGCAGGGGTTTCTCCAGGAAGCCTTGTGGAATCCCAAGGATGCGCTGCTGAAGACGGTGGGAAACTGAGGGAGGCCCGAGTGGGAATCGCCTCCCTGGGCTCTTCAGGGAGCACCTCTTGGTGGCTTTTCCTTTAGCAACCATGTCCTTAACTTCCACTCTGGGGACAAAGTAGGGGAAGAGGAAGAATGACAGGCTCTGTGTCATGAGAAATACTCTGTACAGATTCCGCAGGGACGTAAGTGCTCAGAGACGAGGTTGACTCAAGAGGTGGCATTAAATTGACAGCAATTTATAAGTAGAAAGCAGAACGTCCTTGGAGCTCTGTGCAGGAGGACCTGAGAAACTTTGCCAGGCACTGGCTTATGGAGAATAGAGGCAGTTCCTCCTCCCTATCCCCTCAGCTGCCATTCTCTTTCCTCCCCTTCAAGGCCAAAACTACTTGAAAAGAAGCACTCATCTCTGACCTTAGTCCTCACCCTCACTTTCTTCTCATCATTAACACATTGTAAGCAGCAAAGCCATTGAGATTGCTCCTTCCACAGTAACTAGACACACACACACACACACACACACACACACACACACACATGACCACTCTCCATGACTCCTCACAGGCAACAGACTTAAAGGCTTTCCACTTCCAGAAACTCTCTACTCCCCGGCGTCAAGGACCTATTCTCTTCTGCTTCCTTTCTTCTGGGTTCTTTCCAGAGCTCATTTACAGTCTAGCATTGTGGTTATTTCCAAAGACTTTCCCGCCAAGTTACCTCTGCTCAAACATCTGCTTTTAATACATTCTGGTTGGATGATCTTGGTAAATTAGTTAATCTCTTTCTTTCTGATTTTCTCAATCTGTAGTAAATGGGAATAGAAATCCTATATAATAAAGAGATAATATGCTAGTTAGACTGAACAGCAGAACAACTGTCCAGACGACCTTTCAGACGACTTTCCGGACGACCTTCTAGATGAATCGGGGCTGTGAGGTCCAAGCCCCTTGCACGAATTTTGTGCATCAGGCCTCTAGTTCTATATAATAAAAGCCTAATGTGCAAATCAACCAAACAGCGGAACAACCAGTCACTATGATATGCACTGACCACCATGGGGCAGATGGTCAATGCAGGAGCTGCCCCCTGATGGGCAGTGTGTGCCCACAGGGGGAGCACCACTCAGGCAGAAGTTGGGTTTACGGCTAGTGAGCACAGTAACGGTGGTGGAAGCCTCTCCCGCCTCTGCTGCAGGCAGGCGGTAAGGAGCGAGGAGTCCTGGACTGCGATAGCCCCAGACTGTGAGAGGGATGTCTGACTGCCGGGTTAGGCCCACTGGGGAGTCGTGCAGAGATTAGCCAATCGATGGTTCTCTCTCATCATTGATGTTTCTCTCTCTCTCCCCCTCTCCCTTTCTCTCTTAAATCAATAAAAATATATTTTTTAAAATGTAGATCTTTTTAAATATATATATATACATATTTTTCCCTCTGGCTCTATTTTTGTTCATCAGTTTATGTTGTTCATTATATTCCACAATTGAGTGGGATCATGTGATATTTATCTTTCTCAGACTGGATTATTTTGCTTAGCATAATGGTCTCCAGGCCCATCCATGCTCTTGCAAATGGTAAGAGTTCCCTCTTTATTTTTTACAATAGTATTGTATTCCATTGTGTAGATGTTCCATAGTTTTTTAATCCACTCATCTGGTGATGGGCACTGAGGCCGTTTCCAAATCTTAGCTATTGTAAACTGTGCTGCTATGAACATAGGGGTGCCTATATTCTTTCTGATTGGTGTTTCTGGTTTCTTGGGATATAGTCCTAGAAGTGGGATTACTGGGTCAAATGGGAGTTACGCTTTTAACTTTTTGAGGAAATTCCATAGTGTTCTCCACAGTAGCTGCACCAGTCTGCATTCCCACCCACAGTGTACGAGGGTTCCCTTTTCTCCACATCCTCTTTGCTGATTTTTTTAATGATAGACATCTTACAAGTGTGAGATGGTACCTCATTGTTGTTTTGATTAGCATCTCTGGGATCATTAGTGACTTTGAGCATGCTTTCATAGGTCTCTTGGCTTTCTGTATGTCCTCTTTTGAAAAGTGTCTATTTAGGTCCTTTGTCCATTTTTTAAAAATTGTATTGTTTATATTTGTTTTGTTAAGTTGTATGAGTTCCCTGTAAATTTTTAAAATTGTTTTATTGCTTAAAGTATTACAAAGAGTATTACATATGTCTCCTTTTTTTCCCGCCCTTGACAATCCCCTGGCCTCCCCTACCCCCTAGTGTCTTATGTTCCCTGTAAATTTTGAAGATGAAACCCTTATTGGAGATAACATTGTCAAATATGTTCTCCCATGCAGTGGGCTTTCTTGTTGTTTTGTTGGGATGGTTTCTTTTTCTGTGCAGAAGGTTTTTATTTTAATGCAGTCCCACTTGCCAGGTACCTGCTCCTGATTGGGGATTGAATCCGAGACCCTTTTTGTGCATGGTGCGTTCTAACCACTGAGTCACACTGGCCAGGGCCTTAAGTGAGGGGTGTGTGTGTGTGTGTGTTTGTGTGTGTGTATGTTAATGAAAAGTGCTTAGAACAGTGCCTGGTTTATAAGCTTGGCTTCCCCTAAAATGGAAGGAAGCTCTGAGATTCCTTTGAACTAGATGGGACTAGATTGTAAGCCAGACGTGGCTGCAGTTATTTTGCTGGACTGAGTTATCAGTACGTCCCATTTCCACCCCATGGAATACAAGGTTGATAACGTTTTAAGTTGAAAAGTACCATTCCTATGTTCTGACTTAGCTTTCCCATCACGTTCCAAGTGTGTCAACTAACCAAGTAGATAACATTTACTGTAGAGAATCAAGAGCACAGTAATCTGTGTGCATTTTAATGCTCAGAAACATGATCTTGTATGAAATGTTTGTCATTGCAGAGAGTGAACAAAGTGTGTGGGGAAAGTGGTCCCAAAACAACTTTTTTTTGAAAAAAATTAACTAGATAATGAGACATCCACAAGACTGAGCTCAATACTTCCTTGTTTCATGGTAGAAAAGAATTTAAGAATTAAAAAAAAATATCATGACTTTGACCCTCACTTGGCAAAGAGGCTGAGCTCAAACTTGATTCCAAAAGAAGTTCTTTCTTCCAGGGGGAACCTCGGAGCTGGGCGTCTGCAACGAACGTGCTTTGGCTGCTCTCGGGGGTGAAGCAGAGGAACTGGGAGGGAGGCCCTGGGTCCAGGGCTGAGATCCGGGCCGTGAGAGGGAGGCGGAGGGCAGGACCTGGAGGGAAAGGCCGGCGTCTGGGAGGGCGTGCGGCAGCGGAGGGCTCGGTGGTGCCAACTCCTCTCATTTCGTCCCCACGGGCTCCGCTCCGGTTGGGGACCGTCAACCCCGAACGCGGGCCCTGCCCTGCCCTTTACCTCTCGGGACACAACCCTCCCCGACGCCTCGGCCCAGACCAGCGCCTCTCGCCCCCGGTGCGCGGGTTGGGGCTTCGCCTGGCGACCGTCGGAAGCGGAAGCAACGCGGGACGGACGGTAATGCGCGTGCGCAGTCGGGCACGGAGCCGCCACATTTCCAGCGCGGACGGTCCGCGTTGACCAGTCGGTTACCCGGGACAGCGCGGCCGATGGCACTTGTGTCGCCGTCCGCCGTCCAGCTCGTCGGAGGGCACCGCTCGCGCCCGGGGACGGCGACGCAGTCCCTCCAGGAGCAGATGTTCCGGCAGCCGCAGCGGGGAGGCCCTCAGGCCCCCGTGGGGTCCGGCGGGCACCCCTCCCCTCCGCGGCGGCCCCGGATGCGGACAGCTGCCCCCCGGGCTCCCCAACTGCGCCTTCCCGTCCTCTCCCTCCACCTACGGACACCACCACCATCCCCACCGCTATGCGAGCGGCAGCGGCCAGCGGTGGGCGAGTGACTGCGAGCTGCAGAAGGAGAAGGAGAAGGAGAAGGAGAAGGAGAGCGCCCGGCAGAGGAGGCTGAGGGGGAGGGAGAGGATCGGGGCGGCGGGAGCCCCGGAGGTGTGGGGGCTGTCCCCCAAGTACCCCGAGCCGGATTCTGATGAACACACCCCGTTTGACAATGAAGAGGTAAACACTCAGAAGACCAACAGTTCAGATTCTATCTCTGAAGAAAAGAGGAAAAAGACCAGTCGTTCAAAAAACAAGAAAAGAAGAAAGAAAAAGTCCAAAAGGAAATCCAAGAAATATAATAGTGACAGTGCTTCAGACTCTGACACGAATCCCAGCTGTGATGATGGGAAAAGGAGAGCCAAGAACAAAGAGAAGAGAAAGAAACACAGAGGCGGGGCAAACAGGAAAATGAAGACTAACAGAAACCGTGCTGACTCCGGCTCTAAGGATTCAGAAGGGGAGTTTCGAGAAGATGTGCGGATGCATCACTCCAATATGGCAGATACCATGGACCTAATAGGCCCAGAAGCACCTGTAATACTCACCTCTCAAGAAGAGAAACCTTTGAACTATGGCCACGCTCTGCTCCCAGGGGAAGGTGCAGCTATGGCCGAGTATGTAAAAGCTGGAAAGCGTATCCCACGAAGAGGTGAAATTGGGTTGACAAGTGAAGAGATTGCTTCCTTTGAGTGCTCAGGTTATGTTATGAGTGGTAGCAGGCATCGCAGAATGGAGGCTGTACGGCTGCGGAAAGAGAACCAGATCTACAGTGCGGATGAGAAGAGAGCCCTTGCATCCTTCAACCAAGAAGAGAGACGGAAGAGAGAGAATAACATTTTGGCCAGTTTTCGAGAGATGGTGTACAGAAAGACAAAAGGGAAAGATGACAAATAGAGACTTTTGTTATACAGGACTTTGAACAACAATTTTATATAACCAAGTAGTATTAAAAGGCTTTATGGTGTTACTGTATCTACCTACTATGTTAGTAAGTCCTCCGAGGAAAAAGCTGTTTTTTGAGATCTGAGCAATTTATCCTTTATGTTTAATGTAATAATCAATATATAGTTTTTAAAATATTGAACTACAGGAGAGTTAGTAAAATGCCTTTCACTCAAGTCCCTGATCCTCCTCCCCAAAGACATCTCTTTTTTGTGTCTTCTATATCTGCCCATGAGTTCTTTGTACATACCAGTATATTGCTTCATTCTGGTTGCATTTAACAGACTGTTTAAAAGAAATAGAGATTTACTGGCATCTAATAAAAGTGCAGCAGGAGGATGGGTTTCCTGTGTGGCTGTAATGGGACTACAGCTTCTTTCCTCTTAATTCTTTATGGGTCATTATCCTCTTCAAGCTGGTTTCTCTCAAATAAGGTCTGCCAAAGCCCCTAAGTTAGGTTATGTATTTCCTAGTCCACCGCTGAAGAAAGAACATTTTTGTCTTGCATTGCAAACAATCCTGAAGTTCAGCCGAATTGGAATAGCTTTGGTCACATGCCCATCCTCATTAAAAAATGTTGCTGCCCATGGAAATAGTATGGCTTACTCCTGGATCTATAGGTGTGGTCACCTTATGGGTTACATGGGAAAGGAAGGATTTTTGAATGAAAATCAGGGTAATATTGAGAATGGGAGATAGGCAACCAATAAATTCCCAAATAAGTTTTGAAAGATTTATTAAAAGCAGAATAGAGAGTACATGTGCTGAATGCCAAATGTTGATGAAAAGCTTGGCTTTGACTGATAAGCCAGATATATGATTGAAGGGGGCAAAAGGGATTATCCATAAAAATAGATATGAAAGAGAAAAGATGAAGATCCAGGGTGCGCCAATCTTCCAAAGAGTAGATTAAGTGCCACCTAGAGTAGGAAGAGAAAGAAAAAAAAGAGAAGGTATAAAGGAAGAGGCAGTTGGTAGAGCTCATGAAAAGGAGCCCAGTCCAGGAGGAAAAACCACATGGATAAGACAGTTAGCATTGAGATGCTGACTAGCACCATTGTTGTAGAAGACTTTAGAATGAGTTTCATTTATAGTGTATGATAAGGTCATTGTTGTCATCCAGTGTCATTTGCCTAAACCCGGAGCTTTCATTTGGATAACCAACTTTGCAAAGCTCAAGAGACCCTTGTAAGCCTCATAGAGCTGAAGATGTGGGGGTGGTTTGGAATCTGTCAAGGCAGAGCTATATGGAAGGGCAGCACCTTTACCCCAGAATGTGATGTAATTGGCACTGGACCACACTAGCTTCAGGTTTTCCCCAAAGATGTTTGGGGAACACTGGTGAAAGACACCTTGTTACATATGTATATCTCCATTCTTAGAAACAAACCATACTGCACTATACACATGGATCTACACCTGGCGTTTTTCACTTAATGCATGTAGGAGATGTTTTATATTAATGTATGTAAATCAACCTCATTTTAAAAAATGACTTCATAGTATTCTATTGTATGGAAGAACCATATTTTGTTGGATATTTGTTTTCTATATTTTTGGATTACATGATACTTTAGCAAAAATCTTTGTGTAAGTTTGAGTGTGTTATTTGTAGTATATTCATCTAGAAATAGACTTATTGGGTCAAAAAGAATTCTTTCCCAGGTCACACTGCTTGCAAGTGACAGGGCTGGATCGGCCCATTTACAGAAATGGATTTCCTTGTTCTCCTCAGCCTCCAGCTGTTCCTTCTCTCCTCTCTTCCATACACTAGGAGTTTTCCAGGGTTCCAGCCACAGCTGACTACTGCACTACCCTGAATTTGCCAGGCTTTCCCTAACATGTCTGTGCTCCACCTTTGCTCTGTATGAAAAATGTTTTCTCTATTTTCTTGTCAGCCCTAATTTAAATTTTTTTTAAGACCCAGAGGATGCGGAATCTTAGAGTAAATTTTTGGGAAGGTGGGTGGGTGGCAGGTAACCAACCAAAGACGATATATATATATATATATATATATATATATATATATATATATATATATCTCCATCCCATGGACACAGACAATAGGGTGGTGAAGGCCTGGGGTGGGGGCAGGCTGGAGGGGGTCAAAGGGGGATAAATGGTGATATATGTAACACTTTGTACAATAAATAATCTACTTATATAAAAACCCTGGGTGGTGTAACATCACGACCAATCTGGCGACCAAGTGGAAGGAATTCAGTCCTGCAGGGGTTGTCTTGGCAACGGCTGCACCCTCCCCCGAGCTGTTTCCCAGAGCTGTTTCCTGTAAGGGTGGGGTTTGAGGCAGGAACCTGCCCTGGGAGTGTGGAGGCATACCTTTATAAAGTTTGCCACGCCAGCACGGCCAAGGGTGAACCTGAGTGGGGGCGGCTGAAAGGCTTAGAAAAGACAAACAAGAGAATGAAAGCCGGGTCTCGGTGGGACAGTACTTCTCTGAGAGACAGCAACCACGCCCACAGCCATGCAGATGCTACGAGGCAAAGTAAGGGCATGACCAAGATGTTTACAACATTTGCCTGGGTTTCAATCCTACTCAACTACATGGACCTGAACTCTATCAAGCCTACATCACTCAGGCACGTGGGGCCATGTATTAGGACCATAGGTTCAAGCTTACAACTACAGCTGTTGGCTATAATTGTGCTGGGAGGACCCTGCCCTCTAAGCTGGGACTTTCACGTGGCAATGAGAGGACTGTGCTGTCTCATCAGTCCAAGGCTTGAACCTGTCCAAAACACTGTAGCGGCTCCCCACAATAAAGTTTTAATTCTGTTTCTTTGTTACTGATGTTGTGGCCCCACCCCAGAACAAAGAAACAATTTCCGGAGGATGAGGCCCAGGAATTGGGATTTTAAAAAGCTTCCCACGTGGTTCTTATGTGCAGCCAAGGTTGAGAACCACTGCTATAGATAACATTAAAAATATATCTAAATGTGCAATTTTTTGTCCAAAAAATGAGCATGTTCAAAATTAAATGGTTTTAAAACGTGTTCTTGTAACTCGAAGGGTTCTGCTTGATCCGAGTGTGTGTCATTTTTAGTATGAATGATAAAATAAATCTGTAGAAATGTGCTAAGACCAAGCATCCCTTATTTTGTGATTTATCAGAATGTAATCATAGAGCAGACTTATACTCTGGTTTTATAGGATAAACGCTTATATTTCTCCTTCAAGTAAGATACTGATTATACTGTACACGTCTGTGAATTTATATATTTATTATGCCAGTCCTTAAAGGATGTTGTCAGCCAATTCCTGCTCAAAAATAATCCTCTGGTGCCCTCCTGTGGCTATTCAAGGAATAACAACTTGCGCCTCTGTCCATGGTGCTGCAATCCAGGCAAAGCCCTGTGAACACGACCAAAAATTCTACCCATTAAGAAACACCAGCAATCCCTCTAGTGTTAACTACAACAATTAAGGCTTGGCTAGAACAAGACTGCGCACAGAGACCACAAGGGGGTGCACCAAGAAAGCATAAAAGATGCGGAGACAAAAAAACATGACAGAAATGGAGGATATGGAGCTAAGAATCGCAATTTTGAGGGCTTGCCATAAATTTGTGCAGAGCCTCACGAAAACTAATGAGACCCTCGATGCTACGATAAAGAAATTAGAAAGTAAGCATACACGGACTGAAATAAAGAATATTATACCCAATAGCAGACCAGAGGAGCACAAGAATCAAACCAAAGATTCGACAAAAAACACCCAATTGGAAAAGCAAAATGAAAAAAGAATCCGAAAGTGTGAAGATAGTGTAAGGAGCCTCTGGACAGCTTTAAGCGGACTAATATCAGAGTCATTGGAGTGCCAGAAGATGAGAGACAGCAAGATATTGAAAACCTATTTGAAGAAATAATGGCAGAAAACTTCCCCCACCTGGAGAAAGAAATGGACTTACAGGTCCAAGAAGCGCAGAGAACCCCAAACAAAAGGAATCCAAAGAGGACCACACCAAGACACATCATCATTAAAATGCCAAGAGCAAAAGACAAAGAGAAAATCTTAAAAGCAGCAAGAGAAAGAGGCTCAATTACCTACAAGGGAATACCCATACGACTGTCAGCTGATTTCTCAACAGAAACTTTGCAGGCCAGAAGGGAATGGCAAGAAATATTCAAAGTGCTGAATACCAAGAACCTACAACCAAGATTACTTTATCCAGCAAAGCTATCATTCAGAATTGAAGGTCAGATAAAGAGCTTCACAGACAAGAAAAAGCTAAAGGAGTTCATCACCACCAAACCAGTATTATATGAAATGCTGAAAGGTATCCTTTAAGAAGAGGGAGAAGAAGAAAAAGGTAAAGATACAAATTATGAACAACAAATATGCATCTATCAACAAATGAATCTAAGAATCAAGTGAATAAATAACCTGATGTACAGAATGAACTGGTGACTATAATGAATCAGGGACATAGAAAGGGAATGGACTGACTATTCGTGGGGGAAAAGGGGTGTGGGAGATGCGGGAAGTGACTGGACAAAAATCATGCACCTATGGATGAACTCAGTGGGTGGGGAGTGAGGGTGGAGGGTGGGGTGGGAGCTGGAAGGAGGGGAGTTATGGGGGGAAAAAAGAGGAACAAATGTAATAATCTGAACAATAAAGATTTAAAAAAAAAAAAAAGAAACACCAGCAGAAAATCATCGAAGCTGTCCAGGGCGGCAATCATTCTGTAGTCACGGCCCTGTGTTCTTCATCTCCTCCAGCCCAAGGTCTTCAAAGGGAGGCCCCTGTAGACTGCTCTACTAAGGTTCCCCTTATGGTGACCCACCCACCCTGCCTCATATGTTCGTTGGTGCCATTTTTAACTAGAGTGGTGAGTGTATGCTTGGCAAGCAAATGCTCTAACCAGTAAACAACACCAGCTACGGATTCTATTCACTTTTAAAAATATAAATTTTAGCCCTAGCTGGTTTGGCTCAGTGGATAGAGCATCAGCCTGTGAACTCCAGGGTCCCAGGTTCGATTCCGGTCAAGGGCATGTACCTTGCTTGCGGGCACA